AGTCTTTTATTATTTATTATTTTTATATACGCGGTCGAAATGGAGCGTTATAATCATGATTATTTTAATTATAATATCTTTATTAAATGTTCTTTATTACATAACTGGCTCTTAGCCCTTCAATTATTCTATTTTGTTTTATACACTTACAGAGTCTTATTATTATTTATTAAATTAAAAAATTCGCAATGGTTTAACAAGTGTAGAATGAAATAAAAAACAATATTGCTTTTGCTGTTATTAACAAAACGTCTAGACCACAACCACAATGCTTTCATCAAGCAGGAAATATATCATAAAATTATTAAAACATATGAGTTTTATTCTATATTAAGAAAAAGTGAGAACAAACCTATTAATAGAAGAAAACGAAAATATTGGGTCAGTCGAATATTTACTATTGAACGATGGTTAGCACAAGGAGCAAGCAATAATCTCGTTAATGAACTGGAGCAACAAGATCGTGAATTCGTGAATCGTGAAAGATATTCACTGTCTTCTTTTTTATTTCAGATAGAGCTTCTTCTTTGAGTTTAAATGACTCAGGTTCTCGTTGACGAGGTAAACGCAGCTAGTCGTATAAGGCACAATCGAAACCGGCAATGCTTTCCAAAAAAACGATGCAACAATTTTCGACGCAATCTTGCGATTCTATGCATATCACATCTCGAGGGCTGCCATATGACACTACTTCTTTAGACTAAGCGATTTTATTTAAATTCGGCGCGTATTACGCTACAATAATGAATTCAGCGGAACGGCGGCGTATCGAAAATAGCGGAACGTCCACGATTGGTCAAATTTTCGATACGCGCGATCCGCGATACGCGCGATACGCTCCATGGGACTGCACCCTAACTTTTGCATTTAATAATTATTAATTCGTTCATTTTTTTATCAACGTGAGAACCATGTCAACGTGTTTATAGCAGATGATGGTAATTATTTAGAATATTCCTGCCCCCTCCTGAAATTTTAATAAAAATATACTCATTCGACGCGTTTTCACTCAAAACGAAATAATCTGGCAGAAAAAAGTGTCGCTCTGCCCCGCGAACCGAAATATTAAACGTTATAGTTAACAACTATTGAGGTTAGGAAATTTGTCACAAAGGCGAAATGAGGTCTATAATCGTACTGTTGCTGACTGTTGCACATGGGTTTCGACTCTTCACGCAAAGTGACTCTTACCCCTTTAAAGGGGCGCACGACTCTCATCTCCCTTCTCTCTCCTGCAAAGGGGCCCACGACAGCACGATTTCTATAATTGTATTGTTATAGAAGTCTTGAGCACTCTTTGCAGGGGGGAAAGGGGGTGAGAGTCGCTTCGCGTGGAGAGTCGAAACCCATCACCTATGTGCAACAGTCAGCAACAGTACAATAGACTTCATTTCGCCTCTGTGACAGATTTCCTAACCTCAATAGTCGTTAACTTTAACGCTTAATATCTCGGTTGGTAGGGCAGAGCGACACTTTTTTTTGCCAGATTCTTTCGTTTCATGCAGAAACGCGTTAAATAAACCTAATTTTATTGATTTTTAAACTGCGGCACCGATTCTGTACAATTACCATTTCTTGAAACCTACGACTTATACGATCTTGCCTTTTTTTTTTTTTAATTTGCACCTTATGCTGTCAACTTTTACTGATATCAAGGATTTTCAATAACTTATACGAATTGAGATGATCCCTTGTCAAACTTTAACGCTTAATAACTCAATTCACGAGGCCAACTGCTGCGTTTTTCTGCCAGATTCTTTCGTTTTGAGTGAAATGCGTCGAATGAGTATATCTTTATTAAGATTTTAGTAAGGAGGAAGGGGGGGTTCTAATAATTACCCAGATTTCTATTGCAATCAGATTGTGTTGGTTATCATTTATTAATAAGCTTATATATATATATATATTTTAATTAATCTTAATTGATATTTCATTTTCTCGGATAGTGTAAAAATAGTATTTTATAAATCTGACAAACACACATGTTTAAATTATATATTTTCATGCCCGTGGTAAACTTAATAATAAAATTATTAAAAATAAACAATATATTTATATAATTTACCTTGAATTTTATTCGTTACTTATTACAAGATTTGGATTAAATGTTGCAGTAGTAGTACCTAATGATATTTTATTTTTTAGGCAATGAATATTGCAAGAGGAATGGGGCTAATTTTTAATAGAATAAATCACTTGAAGGAATGCTTATTCTCTCCTAAACATTTATTGTACACAAATATAGGGATATCAATTTCTCTTTCTGGCATAGGAGATGTTTTAGAGCAACATTATGAGATATTAAAGGTTTGTTAACCGTAACATTTCATGATACTATATCTAGATGATAACTTGTTGATATTCTCTTTAGGGCAAATGGGATAAATGGAGTTTTACTAGAACGAGAAATATGTCTGTATCTGGCATGTCTATCGGGATAGTTTGTCATTACTGGTATAATTTTTTAGACACTAGAATAACTGGACGTACTATTGGTATAGTTTTAAAAAAAGTAATTATTGATCAGTTAATTTGTTCGCCTCTCTGTATAAGTACATTTTTTTTTACACTGGCTTTAATGGAGAATAATAGTTTGACAGAGTTTAAGAATGAAATTAAAAAAAAAGCGCATAGACTATACATAGCTGAATGGGTCATTTGGCCTCCAGCACAAATTATTAATTTTTATTTCCTTCCTACACGATACAGAGTACTTTACGATAACATGATATCTCTCGGTTATGACATCTATACTAGCCATGTAAAATACGATATGCAAACAGTTAGTAGATAATGCTATTTTATTTAGTAAAATATTTTTGTAAAATTACAAATATAATTTAAGTAACAAATCAAATAGAACCTATTTGCCAGTTCATTGAGCTGCTTTTACTACGTATGTATATTTACTAATATATATAATAAAATATATTAAATTTATTAAATTGTAAATATAAATTGCAAAATATAAAATACGAGTAGATAAAATGATAACTGTATTTTCAACTTGATTTTAATCGAATATACAGAAAATGATTATAGTAAAAAATATTTTACACAATCGCATGATAATTGAAATAGGCATGATATGCAATTAAGTTTAGTTTTCATCACGTTTTATTGTAAGAAAAGCGTAACATCTATTTACTTAATTAATCTTCCCTTCACTTGGGCTGATATGGAGTTTTCTTCATACATGTTATAATACTGCTAATATCTTTGATTTATTTTGCATGAGGATGAAGATGAGATTCCCATTTTTAAAACATTCCATCGTGAATGCCGATAGGTACTAACACAGCTGTAAACAGCAGCAAATTGCGAGCTACTAATTTCCAATCATTCGGTACTGCATAAGGTGTCAAAACGTGAGTCAATCTATGAATCTAGAAGAAAGAATCTCCATAAGAAAAAAAATTGTTTTTAATTATCATTAAAATGATAATTGCAATTTTCAGTCAATATAAGAAATAATCTGTTTTTCTTACTTCGTGACTGGCGCATATGAAAATAAACGATGTAACCAACAAGTTTAGCACGGGGAATCTGGGTAATAGTACAAGTACTCCATGCGAATCTGCTGCCAACCATATATGACCTTGCGCAACCAAAGTTTCCAAACTTATTCTACCCAATCCAGCTAAAAGTGCAGAGTGTTTTCCCCGTAATGCCAATGATGCGTTTCGGAGAGCAATGTATCCTACAATCTAACAGATTACATTAATAATAAAATAGTAATATAAAAAAAATTAATAAATATAAGAGAAAAAGTGAAAAATATAATATGATGGAAAAGAATAAATAATAAACGAGTTAAAGCAGTTTTGTAGTTTACCGGAATGAACGCAACATAAGAATGAATTTCCTCGCATTCTGATACAGAGTGACACAAAATCGTGAAAGTAGTATACGCTATTAAGGAAATCAATGCCAGTATAGAAGACAATGCAGTGCCTGGAATGTGATCTACTCTCTGAAGAGCGACAAGACCAGCTCCGAAAGTCAAGCCCCAGACTACGCTGTATCTGTCGACTCTCCAACGAGACCACCATTCACGGATATCGTCATCAGTTGTCACGAATAATGCTTTCCAGGGCCTCGTGACAAAAACTTTCTCAAAGAACACCTGCGTTAATAAAACGTATTATATTTTGAATATATTTTCCTGAGAAATAAGTTTTTTTTACCTACCTCTGACATGTATAGTACGGTAATTGTTGATACAAGACCCAAGAGTTTTAGAGCAAAGTACAGCAAGGCTCTCGGTCCATATTCTGTTAAACTTCCAGAATATATTCTGGGTGGTAACCAAGCTAGAAAATAAATAACTAAAAACCAGAATGATACCAATGGTACGAAATGATAAAATTGATATGGCCTGTTCATGCAAAGGCATAAGGATACTGTCAATAAGTTTAATCTAAACATGACCTGAAACACAAGAAGTAGATTTGATTCCACAGGCAAAAATATGATTTTAATGATTTCAGTTTAAGTTGCATTATAAAACTTTCTAATACTTACTCTAGCAAATCTGACAAGAGACATGTCGCCAGTTTGCCAAAAATAATAAAAATGTCCATATCCAGACAAGAATAAGTAGGCAGAATTAATTAATCTTAAATACATATAAATCGGTAAGACATTTTTGGCACCAGTAACATGATATATTAACACAACCGCTTGCATTAAACCTCTCCATTCATCCGTTTGTTCTCTATTTAACACTCTCGGTCCTCTCTCGCGATCTTCAGTGAAAAATAATCCAAGAGCTAAGATATAGCCAAGTGGTAGCCAAAAACTGAATTCACTGTAATATTTATTCTCCTTCATGAAAAAATTTGTTCTAAAAATGATATAAGAGAGGAGAGAATTATTAAAGCTATTGCAATATCAAGACAAGATTACAAACCTCGGCAAGCGATTACTTACCTGTCACATAAATAAAAATATGCTAATATAATCGAAAAGAGAGCTAGTGATGTAATGAGGGTATAGAAATCTTGTACCTCAGGTTGTTTAACTTGAATGACTTCCGAAGTACCTGCTTCTTCAGTGTCACTTACTTCCTCAGTGGTAACATGAGAATAGGATACTTCGGAACGATACTTGCATAATTTTCTATATAGCCATATACCTCCTCCTATTGTTACACTATAAGATTATTACAAAAATTGTTTTCCATAAGAAGAATAAATCATTGAATTAACGTACAAGTAAAATATTAGATACTCAATTACAATAATGCAAGCGCAGATAGAGTTAACAATTGTAAAATAGTTGCCGGCTCAGGATAACTGCAACAACTGCCATCATCGAAATTCATATGATCATTGCAATATGTATTTAATAGTATTTGAACTTTATGCCGAAGTGACAATGGACTCGCCAAATAACCATCTGGACTTTGTTCAAGAACACCCATACCGACTAATTTGCTGCTTTGCCATATACGAGCCTCACTGTGAGATAATATCTGTATACAGTGATTATAGAATATTTATCTTTTCCTTTATATTATCAGGTAAACGTATCGTCGATGTTACCTTTGCGGCTGCTTTGTTGCATAAGTTGATCTGTTTGTTGTCTAAACTCGACAATTGTGCAGGCAGTCTTTCCTTGAGCACAGGATCTTGTAAGAGCCATAGAAATTGAGAACCCTTTTTAGCCAAAAAGTCTATCGGCTGTACCAGTCGAATCAAACCTGTATTGTATTCCGAATAAAGTTGCGTATCACTGTTATTATTTGCAAGAATGACAGCTGCAGCAGAGCCCGAGACCATTACACTGGGTGCATCTGCCTTCTATAACAAAGATAAATGTAAATTTCACTATTTCATCTTCTGATTCAAACTTCTTATGTGTATTTATACAATTTATCTATTTATTGTATTATATCTATATATATGTACCATACCATCCAGCCTCTAAGGTCTGCTATCATAGAATTATCAAGTCGTGGCCTCCATAGAAATTGTACGTTTAACTTAAGTTGTCCATCATTAAAGCCCAAGTCGGAGTTTTCCGGTAGCTCCGTAAGATCAGATGTTTTACCATCAACCATAAATTGTGAAACAAATGATTTATATAATTGCCTTATTCTAGCATCACCAATAAATACAAAATGATTATGATGGCCCATGAAAGCTAGATATCTCATACATCTTCTGCTGTCTCTGTAAAATGACATAAATTTTTTCTATATAAAAGTTAATTTTTCTTAATAAAATAAATTAAATATAATCTTACGTTTGCGTATAGTGGTGCATCATGCAGCCGTATGGTTGCCATTCCTTGTCACCTTTGTATCTACCTTCTGTCAATAACCATTTGCAAGAATCGCTACCTATGACAGAAGTTATAATATGTTTACGCCAATAGTAAATGACTTGTATTATTAAATTAAAAAATTAAAAATATAACATTGCAAAAATTATTATAAATTTTATGGTTATTGTTAATTTTGATGCTTTGCAGATGTTTCCACTATACCATAAATAAGATGAATGACACCATGATATATAATAAAACAGACAACAAGCGCAGTAGCTAATTTCTTTGCACTTGTTACTGTTATAAGACTAATAAAATATTCGGCCGATGTCATGAAGAAATTCGATCGATATATATCTCAATTACATTAACACTGCAAAATAAAATTATCACAGCTTTCCATTTGATGATACAAATCAACACAAACGTCGTTCTATTCTTCTTGACATTCAAAAAGTGACAAAGATAGAACGACACTTGTGTCGACTGTAGGTGCGTTCAGGGAGACGCTATTAACGCTTGTGTCATTCTATCCTTGTTTTACGTTTAATAAACAACGAAGATAGAATGACAGATAGCGCTATTAGTGTCTTCCCGAACGCACCATGTGTCTCCTAAAAGGAAAGCAGCCTATATGTATAACCAAAGGCTACGTTTACACCGTGCATTTAGGCCGCGGCCTATACAATAGATGTCCTTGTTTATCCTGTATATTGAACAAAGATACCTATCGTATAGGTCGCGGACTAAGCGCACGGTGTAAACGTAGCCAAAAAGAAGCTTGATTTAGCCCGGGATTTAGGGCGACTGTTACCAACGCCGATTAACTTAATCGGCTGATTAGTCCATTGGAATTGACCAATCGCATTTGTCATTTTGTTTGACGACAGATGGCGATTGGCCAATTCCAATGGAATAATCGGTCGATTAAGTTAATCGGAGTTGGTAACAATCGCCCTTAGCTATTTTAACTGCAACCTTATTTTGAAGCGCCTCTATGTCCACAAAACGTGGACATTGAACTACATAGCCAATGTCCACGATCCCGTCGGTAATATCCACGATGCCGTCGATAATGTCCACGATTTTTTTATTGTATTCTTCGCTATGTCCACGATTTTCGGTCCGTTAGACCCTGCGCACAATAGAGGAAATATTAGGAACAGGAATAGATATTAAGATTTTAACCTATCAGATACCAGTTACACCGGAATACATGGTTTCTGATAGGTTGAAATCTTAATATCTGTTCTTGTTCCTAATATTTCCTCCATTGTGCGCAGGGCCATAGATAGATAAAGACAAACAATCAATCTGTCGACGCTTGTTGAACAAACGATTGTTCGTCTTTGTCTATCTAACGGAAAATCATGGATATAGCGAATACAATAAAAAAATCGTAGACATTACTACGGGATTGTGGATATTGACTATGTAGTTCAATGTCCACGTTTTGTAGACATAGAAGCGCTTCAAAATAAGGTTGCAGCTAAATCCCGGGCATGGCCGCTCTCAGACTTTTCTCTGATATAACTGTATATCTATTTACACGTATGTATGTACGGTCAGGGCCAAAAATGTTGCAACACTTTTTTTGATGGGTTTCGCAATGCACCTTGCTCACCGTGCGATAGGTTCTTATTAGGTGCATTTAGTGGTTGCATTCAGTACTATCTATATTAATAAGCAATCCTCAAGCTCAGTGAGCGATTGTAGTACTGAATGGACCCAATGGGTGCATCCAGAAGCACGACCGCTCATTGAGCGCTAAACACTTGTACCTGTTTGGTCTAATGGAATATGCCAATCAGATACAAGAGCTCACTGAGAGCTCAGTGAGCGGTCGTACTTCTGGATACACCCAATGCGAGGGAATAGCGATAGCGATAGGAATAACATGATTTCACCTATTCAAAACTATGTATTCCGATATATTCGATTTCTGATAGGTTGAAATCATGTTATCCATATCGCTATCACTATTCCCTCGCATTGTGTCTTAGGCTTTACAGATTTCTCTTTTAGCGTTTTCGGCTCGGCCAAGTTTGCATCAACCTGGGTTGGATTAATGGCGTTTTATGCTCTCTTATTGGTAGAGCGTGTAACGTCAACCAATAGGAAAGATTAATCCAACTCAGGTTAATGCAAATCCGATCAGGCCGCTATTGCTCTGCATGGTCTCTAGTTTTATCAAAATCACACGAGAGAGAGAGAGAGAGAGAGAGAGAGAGAGACATATGGTATCTTTCTCTAACTTTCACACATATCTGACCTAATTTATAACTCTAATTCATGAGAATGAAACACTGTGAAACACGTGTTAAATCTGAAAATTATTAAAAAATTGTTAGCTGTGCAGTCCCCTTTTGTAATAATTCAACAGCCAAAGGCTATATAATGAAAGTGTTTCGCAGAGACAGTGGGTGCATTCAGTACTATGACCGCTCACTGAGCGCTCAGTGAGCTCTTGAATCTGTTTGATCTATATTTTTAGTTCTAACGGAATATGCCAATCAGATGCAAGAGCTCACTGAGCGCTCAGTGGTTGTAGTACTAAATGCACCCAATGAACGTCGTGCTTTATGAGCAAAAATGTTGGGAGAATAAATTGGACTCCAAAAAACAATTCATTTCTCTACGAGGTTAAATAACATTTGTATTTTTCGACATATAATATAAGAAATTTATTTATTAATTCCTTATAAATTCTTTGTATTGTTTAAATTAAAAAGTAACACATACATAGGTATTTGAATATAGATTAAGGCCGGAATCCATAGTCCGGTCTTAGGGCGGAATCTATAGACGTTGCTCAAGATTCGAGATGGGCTTAAGCTAATGCATGAACCAATCAGAGAGCCGTATTAGCATCTTAAGGCCGGAATCAGACTACGCATTGACCAATCAAAACAATAGGAGCTAAAATTCTTTTGTCCTCACTGGTCAAATTTCAATCTTTCAATCTTCAATCTCAATATTCAATGTGTAGTCTGATACGGGCTTTAGGCCGGAATCAGACTACTGACTCTGCAGACCGACCCGACTGCCAACTCTGACTGCCGATCAATAATGGATCAATCACAATAAGGCCGGAATCAGACTACGCATTGAGGATTGAGATTGAAGATTAAAGATTAAAATTTGACCAGTGAGGACAAAGGAATTTTAGCTCCTATTGTTTTGATTGGTCAAATTTCAATCTTTCAATCTTCGATCTCAATATTCAATGCGTAGTCTGATT